TCCATGTCTAGTTTGTGGCCTCACTGTTATAAAAGCTACTAAGCAGGTCAGCTGTGGAGACAGGGAGAAAATGGACTGTAGCCCACTCTGCTCATTTCCCACAGCCTGCCATGCTCAGTGCAGTCAGGACCAGGAAGCAGTGACCTGCAAGCTTGATGTAGTTCTGTGCTTGCCGCTCCAAATTCATTTTCAGTTAAATTGTTCAGGAGGGAAACTGTGGTATCTCTGGAACAGATATCTTGCTTTTCATTTACTTCCAGCATGAGCTAATTCATCCTCAGCTCATCCAGATGGAAAACCAGGTCGTTTTATTCCCTTTTTACAGGTAGCGAAATTGAAACAAATTTAATTGACATATTCTGAGTCATAAAAAGAAGGAAGAGCATGGGTAGCTTAGAAGTAGGAGTCTGCTATTCTAAAGCACCAATTCTGCTTCAGTCCAGGAAAGCCAATTCCGCATTAACTTTTACCTCTTCTGAAATACAACTTCTAAATATCTATTCATCAAGTATCAACATGAATAACATTGCAATTCTTTGACATTCTTTTCCCATAAATTGAGTTTCTCTACCAATGTTAGGTCATAAAGATTTGGCTTGCACAATAAATGCTGCCAGAGAGATGATCTCTGCTGCCCTGTAGCACCAAAGCTTTAATTGGCTGGTGGAATTGATTAACATGTGAAGCAAAGCTAAGGTCTTTAATCAATCTTAGTAGTCATTTATTGAGAGTATATGACAAAGCTATAAAGGTTGTTGCAAATGACATATTTTAATATTAAAACCAGAATCGTCTGCCTTTGTAGAGGTTTGAATATGTTTTTTCCCCTTTTTATAATAAATTAAGATTAAAATTAAACAGATACAAAATAAAAGGATGATTTGTGAATGTAATTCTCTTTATCACTAGTCAGTAATATCCATAGCACTGGAATTCCTTGCCCCAGAATGCCTCAGAGCCCAGCCCAAGGTTGATTCACCCCAGCTAACACCTGCTATCACTCCGAAGTGGTTACTTATCATCATGTCTGATCTTGATGAGAAATTGGAAAACACTATGCACACTATTCTCATTTCTCTCTTTGTAGAAGTAAGGTTGAATAAAGTATAGGTGGTTACATGAAATGTCAGTCTCAGTGTATAAAGAAGTCATATGCTGAGGGCTGATCCCTTGCTCTGCAAGGCAGAAGGCAGCATTTATCCTTCCCAGATATCAGATTCAGAATGGATCCTCAGGGAAGGTTGGGGGTTGTAAAGATAAACCTGTTCCTAAATCTGAAAGCTCAGCCTGAGACTACACTTATATGTAAGGAAGGGATATGCCAAGACATTGCATAAGAATCTGACAGCTTGCTAGCTGGATGAAACAGAGAGAGACACCTCTTGGGTGATCTAACATATAGATAGTTATAATTATGTTTTTCTATTTCTATCCACCTGTCTTGAAATTGAGTAACTATGCTGTTAAATTTGGATTGCAATAAAACCAGTATGCTTTGCATTCACCTTAACATTTCCCTTATGTTCAAAGTGACTTTAGAGTAACTGAAAGTCATCCCATTGAAAGGACTTTGCAAGCCTCAAAGGAGGATCCTGGACCAACATCTAGAACTACCTCATTGACAGAGCTCTACAAGACTGCTTAGTGATTTGTAGTTTACATCCTCAAGGACACCCAAAAAAGGCATCCATTGCCCCTCTGGGCCCAGGAGTTTCTCCAAAGGACCAGTGCAGAAAGCACTAGCCAGAACAGGAATTTACTGTTAGTTATTATTTTTCCAAATATCACTTTTTCAGTTTTGCTCTGACTACAGATTTCTTACCACAGAGTTTTTTGTTTGTTCAGCTGCTCTCCAGCTTCTTTTCAGTCACCTCAGGTGAAATGAAAGGCCAGTCACATTCAAGATCAAGCAAAACTGTCATAACAAGGATTTCCAGGGTGGTTCAGAGTAAGCCCAAATTCATCCCCTAATGCAGATAATATGAAACAAGGAGCAGCCAAGTGTGATTTTCACTTATCTCACAAAGATAAAGGCATTTAATTCCATAAAATTTGCCATCTACATTGTCAGATGAGGAAAATGAGGCAGAGGGAAATCTGGAAATCTTCCATTTTTTTCTGCTACCACACAAAACAGCAAAGGAAAAGCAATTGTCTGAAATACAATTTAAAAAAAATCACTCGGAGATCAACTTCTTTTTTTTTTTTTTTTTTTTTACTGTTGTAGTCATTGGCATGTAGAAGCATGTCCTCAGCACTGAAGCCATGTGCATAGGAAGTGAGGATTTCCACATGCAATTGAATGACCTGGTACAACAGCAGTTAAGAGAAAGGCTCTGCTGTTGATGGCCAGAAAGATAGTGCTTGGCCTAAGAAGAGTAAAACCCATACATTTTGCTTCTCTGACCAATGTGAAAGCTTCCTTAAAAAAAAAAAAAAAAAGGATGAGAAAGGCGATGTGCAGTTTTGTTTCTAATGATGGAGTCTGTACGACCCTTAATGACCTCCTCCCATCTTCGGGCTCTCAGTGCCCTGAAGAGCAACAGATGAGCAGCTGGTAAGGCTAAATCAGGCCTGACAGCACAGCAAGACGGCTGGGGAAAAGGAGAACACTTTTTTCAGATATTAAGTCTGGTATTCTGCCTTTTATTGTGCAGGAGTGTCCTAATGAGGGAAGCGTGCATATAGAAATTAGAGATGGGAAAGGCTATCAGGTCATCTTGTCCATCCTCCTACAATGACAGAGGTTCTGAAAGAAACATAGCATTAATGTGGGGCCAAAGAACAGAAGAAAAATCAGGAATTAAGTAAAATAATTTCCAAAGGCATTAGTAGCTGTTATAGGTAACGCAAGTTAACGCAAGTTAATAAATAACATTAAGGCAGATGTGAACATTAATTGGCCATTTAGATGGGTGTGTGTAAAGCTATTAATGACAGACAAGTTCCAGTATATCCTGTCCATGTCCACAGTAAAAGCAAAAAAAGAGTCCTCATTCAATAGGATAATGAGGCAGTCAATGGATGATCCAGCTATTTGACCTGTATTTTTAGTGCATTTAAATAGAATAACTAAAATATGTTAACTACAGCTGATATCCAGCAAGAGAGAGAGATAGAAAAAGCAAGATGACATGTCTTTACTGGGAAAAGGGCTGGAAGCATTACTTCAAAGTTTACACTATGCTTAAGAGTGGCAGGAGAGATGGTGAAGAGGTCATATCACACAAAATGCTGCACTCTGAGAGCCTCTTTCACCACAAAACCCTGGTTGTAAATCTCACCATGGAAGAATTATATCCTAATCCAGTTCATTTTGCCAGCAAGCCAATGCAGTCATCTGTCATGAAACAGGGGGCTGATGGTTGTTTTAGTTTAGATGGGTTGTGGGGTCTGTTTTGGAAACATCCTCAAACCTCTATGACAGTGGTTCTGTCATAAGCAGAGAAGAATTTGTGATGCCTAGGGAGCATTCTACAGATTTGTTCAACTCTTCTCAAAACCTCTTCTGTAAGAACAAAACATAAACCCAAAACTTGGTCATTGCATTGCCTCTATACACAGTCTGTGGCTGTACTTGACACAGCTTTTGTAGACACGCTCCCCATCCTCATGGTCCTGGAAATTCTGCGTGGGGCTCATTTGCAGAGGTGACGCTGCCACAAGCAGATTGAGAGTAACTCCATAATCCCAAAGTGTTCTGCCCCATCAGCCATCCCTGAACATGCTCTCCAAACAGGCGTCAAGACTTCCTTGGCATACACCATGCAGTGTGAGGAGAGCGGGGTAGGATCCATTCCTACAGTCACTGGCACAACTGGGTTTGAGACAGGAAGGCAAAGCTCGTGGTGTGTGAAAACAGCCCATGATACAAAACTTCTTGTGTGACTGAGGCCAGAAAAAATACACACATGAAAGAAAGGTGGAGACTGTTGGCCAGTAAGAGAGACACATAACAGTTTTGTAATGAAAAGAAATTGGTTCTACAGCTTAAGTAGACTGTCTATTCCTTTCTGCATTCAATCTTCTGGGCAATGATTGCTTCTCATTCCAGTGTTTAGAAAGGGTTTAGGGGAAAGGAGGGGATTTAATCTCATGCCTGACCTTTACAAAGTATTTACATACACAAATATTTAAAACATGCATAGCACCTCTCCTGTTTGCCAATTTGTCTCACTAGGTAAGCCTCTCCTGAAGAGCCATTTGCACACCCAGCAGTCCTGTCCATTCCTGTTTCCACTGGCCTGCCAGTGGGATGTGGGGTTTCCTGGGACACTGACTCACCAGGCTGATGGGGTACTGTCAGTGCTGGGGGGTCTGAAGGGTGAGGTCAGTGCAGCCCGAGCACTGAGCCTTATTCTGAGGTACTGACCACTAGTGAACAAGGAGATGGGAATTGTTCCAAAGGAGGAGTTAAGGAAGGTAAATCCTGGGTAATTCTCAAGATGCCAACCTCTCTGCATCAGGAGACAAGGCTAAAGATATTAAAAATGCATTTTTAAAGAAAGCAATGAATGTCATGTGCCTTCTTCATGGGGTGTTCCACTATCCCAGAGGTGGCAGGCAAGGGACCAAGAAGCAGTATTCCCAACCTCTTTTTTCCCAGGCATCCAAGCTACCATATTTCCCACCCTCCTGCAAGGGTTAAAAGAAACCTTTACCGTGCCCCTGACTTTGTCTCCCCCCGTCTCTGTTTTCGTGCTTCCCTTGCCGGATCCATTTGCAAATGATATCACTTGTCTGCATATTGTCACTTGCCGCCTGCCCACCCATTTATCAAGTGTCTGCAGCTCGGCACAGGCTTGCCCTGTCCTGCTTGCTCCATTGTTCCTGTGACCCAGGGGAAGGCGCGTGTGAGCGGGAGGGAGCGGGAGGGAGCGGAGGGGAGCGGGAGCGCTCCCGCAGCCCCGAGCCGGCCGGGCAGAGCGCGGCGGGGCAGCTGCGAAGGGACAATGACACGGCGAGACTGACAGCTCCCCCTCCCCGGCTGGCATTGACAGATGACCTTGCAGGGACAGCAGCCCTGGGCCTCCCCACAGACATTAGCTGATATAATGGGCTAGACTGGACATGCCATCCTGGGAACGTAGGAGGTAGGGAAATCATCCCGGCTTGGTGGAAATAAACTCCGCCGTTTACTTTCACAATAGATTTTCCCTCAAACTCATAAACTTGTTTCTCAGTAACCCTAAAGCAAAATGATCATGGAATTTGAGCACAACATTTACCAAGTCCTAATGAATAACATAATTATCACTTTATGCAAATCAAAGCTCATTTGCATATGTGAATATTTAACTATTAAAAACAACGCTTTGATCTTGAATAAAAATATGTATATCACATAATCATAGCCTTATGGAACATGAAAACTATCTTTTTTTCCTTTCTTTTTTTTTTTAACTGTACAGTTTTGCTGCGCTTGGGTTTGCTGTTTGAACGTTCTCGGCAGGGACTCTGTCTATGGAGCTTCTTCCCCGAGGATGTCCACTGGGGTCTCTCGGTGGCTGGCATCCCCAGCTGGGTACATCAGGCCTTTCTCTTCAGGTCACTTTGTCACTGAGCACGGCAGCCTTCCTTCAACTTGTTTTTTTTCCTTGCCTGGTAGTGTCCGCTTTGATGGCAGGAGCGAACCCCAGCTCTGCAGCCCAGGTGGGCTGAGTGCTCCTGTGTTACACACCACCCAGAGATGCTGCCAAGAGATGGGTACTTTATACATTAATTACAGAGTAAGGGAAAAAGTCAAACTCTGCTTGCATATTTAAATCAGACCACAGTAATGCAGATTTTTCTCTTAGGGAAAGATTACCAGGGATCACAGAGGAAGCAAGAGCCTTTCATGGGAGATTTCCCCACTGAAAGCTTTGAACCTGGTTCACAGAATAGCCTTGTGAAGGAACACTTGGAACCAAGGATCTAGAAGCATGCAAGTGCCCAATACCCATAGGTATCATCTTAAAATTGCTAAGAAGCAGCTCTGAACATTCAAGCCATGCACTGTGATATGTTGAATGATAAACCTTCTGTTTTCATATACTATTATCAGCTATTATCAGCTAGCTATTATCACTAGCTGTTGTTCTTCATTACATTTCACTAAAAATAAAAATTAGATTTTAATAAAATCCTTCCACTTTACCAAGTAACTTCTTGTCTGCAAAGTTATTCATAGTTATTAAACTAAATGAACTAACAATGTGTAGCTGGTCACCTAACATTCCCCTACAGGCTGTCATTGACTATGGCCTCTGACCAACAATGTTATCTAAAATGTGTGTACCTAACTGGGGTGGGTAAGGAATATCAGGCCACTGATTGCCCCGTACTTCTATCGGATGGCTTGATGTGTTTCCCTAGGGACGTGAAAGAGTGGCCCATCCTGGGCTGGTGGAGACATCCCTTCCCTGCTCCCCCACCCCATCATCCCCTCCCAAATCCAGGTTTTCAGTCACTGCTCTGCCCTGCCCTGCCTGCAGTAATCCTGTGTGCTAAAGGAGCCAGACAGGGACACAAAGCATGTCCTTGACACTGACTTAGTGAGGATGAAGGTGTCCACTTAGGAAAAAATATAAAACTTGGTTCCAGCTCTTAGCTCCAACACCTGCTTGAGGATTCTGCCCTAACAATGATTTTGCTGGAGCAAGTCTTGCTACTCTTGTCTCTCTCTTATAGGTAATATTGCCTGAGATAAAAAATATTCATGTTTAAATACTTTTTTTTTTTTTTAATCCAGCATTTGATGAAAACAGTGTCCTTTTGCAGGACAGTCTGAAGGAGACCCTCTTGAGCACACCCTGAGAGCCCATAGGTTCAAATGCTTTATCATCTCTCCAAAAACCAAACTCGGGTCATTCCCATCCTGGTGGAGCACAGTAACCGCTGAGCTGTTGCAAAAACTGGGAGTGGTGATGAAGGAAACAGGTGGTAGCACTTGCACCTCTTCTGATATTTTGTAAGCAAAGGCTGCTGTAAAAATTTAACTCCAGGACTGCTTATAGTGCCATGATTCCCAGTTGGACTTCAGTGACTTTAAAGTCTGCGCTGTTTAGAATTTGAGTGTTGGTTTGAACTTTGCAGTTTGGGCTTCAGTCTAGCAAGTGCATATTTTAAACAAAGAAAACATTTGGCAAATAGTTGATTCTGCATGCAAGCAATGTCCCTCTGCTCCACACAATTTATTTTTACAAGGGTCTAAGGGAGACACATTTCTCTAAAAATAAAAGGCATCCACATGAAGCTGAATTATTCCTTCGCAAACACAAACTGATCTTTGCTTGTTTCCAAGCATTCTATCAAATCATAACAACAAAGCAGCACCATACTCCTTTAGTTAATGAGTCTGTGGCTGTACCAAAACCTTACCCTTCCCAGCCCCAAACACAGGCATTGCTCCTATAATGCTTTTGTCCATCAGAATGGGCATCGTGACCCCCGACCTTTGAAAGGCTGCAGCTTATTGATGGCATTTCCTACATGCTGTGTAACATGACAAAGTGCAGCTGATGCAAAAGTAAATTATTAGTGAAGAGTAAAATACTAAGGGTCATAATTATTTTTTTAACTATTCAACTTCTCTTTGCAACAAGTACAGGAAGATGATTTTCTTCAAATCACTGAATTCCTCTTGACATGCCTAGCTCAAAGTTTAGTGATGTGCAAGAGAGAAAATCCTGTAGATCTGTTGAAGGGACAAGAAAAAACATAATTCACATACTAGCACTAATTTGGTATTTTTAATACGTTGCTAAAAATCTTCCAGCGTGTGGGGGGTTGACCATGACTGGATGTCAGATGCCCACCAAAGCCCCTCTGTCACTTCCCTTCTCAGCTTGACAGGGGAGACAAAATACAAGGAAAGACTCATGGGTCAAGATAAGCAGAGGAAGAGTTAATGGGCAGAAGAGATTCAACTTGAAAAAACTAATTTAATTTGTCACCAATCAAATCAGAATAAGATAATGAGAAATAAAACCAAATCTTAAAAAAACACCTCCTCCCCACATCTCCCTTCTTCCCAGGTTTAGCTTCACTCCCAGATCCTCTCCTTCCTCCCCACCAGTGGTGCTAGGGAATGGGGGCTATGGTCAGTTCATCACATGTTGGCTTTGCTGTTTCTTCCTTCTCAGGAGAGGGACTCCTCACACTCTTCCCTTGTTCCACATGGGGTCCCTGCCAGAGGAGACACAATTCTCCAATCTGAGTACTTCCCAAGGCCTCTCTTCACAAACTGCTCCAGTGTGGATCACCACCTCGGCGTGCAGTCCTTCAGGAACAGAATTCTCCAGCATGAGTCACCAACAGTATCACAGTTCCTGACAGCAAACCTGCTCCAGCATTGTGTCCTCTCCCCACAGGTCCATAAGTCCTGTCAGGACCCTGCTCCAGTGCAAGCTTTCCATGGGGTTACAGACTCCTTTGGGCATCCTCCTGCTCTGACGCTGGGTCCTTCAGGGTCTGCAGGTGATTCTGTGGTCCACTGTGGACCTCCATGTGCTGCAGGGACACAGCTGCTTCACCATGGACTGCACCACCGACTGCAGAGGATCTCACTTCTGATGCCTGGAATATCACTTCATCCTCCTTCTGCACTGACCTGGGTGTCTGGAGAGGTTTCCCTCTCATACATTCTTAGTCCTTTCTTTGACTGCAATTGTTGCAGTGCTGAAATTTTTTCCCTTCCTCATGAAAACGTTACCCTCAAGGCATTCACTGTTGCTGATGGGTTCAGCATTGCCAGCGTTGGGTCCATCTTGCAGCTCACTGGCATTGCCTCCACTTGACACAGGGGGAGCTTCCAGTACCTTCTCAAAGAAGCCACCCCTATAGCCATCCTCACTACTGAAAGCTGGCCACGCAAACCCAATACAGAGAATATTTTAAATAAGTGACTCTTCTGTTTACTTGCCCAACACATAAAAGGACCTGTGCTGCATGCACAGGATCACTCTGCTGGCTGCTCCTCAGGAGGGCAGCCAGAAATGAACAGCAAAAATTTGTTCTTGAGCATCTTGATTCAAGACTTGTAGAAAAGCAGATGAAAGAGGATGTGAATTGGAAATGTGTTTGTCACTGCCCCCCTTTTTCCCAAGGTATAGAACAATGAGGCCCAGATGTTATGATTGCAGGAATGCTAAAAATTTCATGAGTTATTCTGCAGGCAAGAAAAGCCACAGAAGGTCAGGCCAAACAGGCTTAGGGTTTGTGTGGGGCAGGAGCTGTTCAGAATGAATCTTTTTAATGTGCAGTATCCATTACCAATTGATGTCAGAGATCCTCTTATAGATGGATCATCTAATGTTTTTTCTTAAAAGGCAGAAAAATATCCATGGCAAACCTTCAACACATGTATTGGAAGGAAAATTCAGAGTTATGGAGACACAATATCTGTTTTGACCAGCTAAGAATGTCAAGTTCAAGTTTTATTCTGCTGTTCTTTCCTACAAAAGGATGACTACCAGTAAAAAAAAAAAAACCAAACAACAAAACCAACCAAACAAAAAACAAACAAAAACAATTTTAAAAAACCAAAAACAAAACAACAAAAAACAAAGCTGACAACTATGCTAAGTTAGAAAATTCATCTGGATTTTCAGTGAAGTAAGACTGCTTTCATCAGGTAACCTGTTGTCAAGTCAGCAGGTTTGAACAGGCTCAGATCTAACAGTACATAAGTGTAGCATGTGTTCGTCTGTGTTTCCAGTACAGATCTCCAGTTTAAGAAAAGTTCAAGATCATATGCAAGGCATATGATGGAGAGTTTGCAAACCACTAGCCTGCAGCAGCTCCCAAACACTGCTGGGTTTGCTCAAAATGATACCCAAACTATGGGCATGCTGTAGTGTCCCAGCTCGAGCAGGAGCTGTGGTTCCATTGCCAGGAAATTTCCCATATCACACAGGTTTCCCACATGAATGAACCTACATGCCAGTGTCTGCAATGGCAGCTGCAGGAGCTTCTGCTGCTCCAGGCCATGTCTGAAACAGAACCCTACCTATGATTCCTACTTTCAGCCTTCTTATATCCTCCTCAGAAAAGTTTTTCTCCCATTCCCCTGATATCCAGAGTAGTTTTGGGAAAATACCAGGCATGCCTGATGGTCTGAGATAGAGATACAAGGGTCAGCAGGACTCTGGCCTCCTCTGGGAGTGGAAACCTGGATGCAGTCCAGGACTTTGATGGCTCTCCTGCACATCCACCACCCACCTCTGCCTTGGCAATCCCACTCACAATGTGTCCACTGACAGCACATCAGCCCCCTATTCCTGAGGGCAGAAGGTCCATACACCCCAGGAATTTCCTGTGTCCTCCACTTTAGTGTCAACACACCTGCAAATGTCCCTGCCTTGGAGTAATGCTCCCCTATCCAGAGTGCCTCCTTCCAGGCCATCCTGCCGTGCTTATTTATCCAGAGTCACCCTCACACCTTTATCTCACATTTCACACCACCACTCAGTCAGAAGAAACTACTGACAGAGGAAGATTGACCACAGAGAAGGAAGCAATTGATGACTTGCTTCCATTCAAAACAAAACAGTGCAGGAACAGAGAGCTTTTGTCTTGGCTGTCTGAGCTTGTACACACAGCATCTGCCTGTACTGGCTTTGCATGGCCAAGCTTTGGTAGGGGGGTGGCTCACGGGTGGCTTCTGTGAGAAGCTGCCAGAAGCTTCCTCCATGTCCAGCAGAGCCAATCCCTGGCAGCTCCAAAGATGGATATGCTGCTGTTCAAGTCTGGGCCAATTAGAAATGGTGGTAACACCTCTGTGATCACATATTTAAGAAGAAGGAAAAAAAAAAGAAAAACCCAAAAAAACCCCCCAAAACCCCCAAAGATATTGTGGTGTTGTAACTGTGGCCAGAGGAGAGTGAAGCAGGGGAAGGGCTCCTGTCGCTGAACAGCAGAAACAATGTGTGATGAACTGACCACAACCCCCATTCCCCATCCCCTGGGCTGCCAGAGGGGAGGAGGTAGAGTAGGGAAAGAGGGAGGAGTGGGGAGAAGTTGTTTTTAAGGTTTTGTTTTACTTCTCATTATCTTGCTCTGATATTGTTCATAATAAATTCAGTTAATATCTCTAATTTGAGCCTGTTTTGCCCATGGTGGTGTTTGATGAG